CTGCCTAAGAGATCTCTCCTGATCCCAAAAAGCTAGCCCTTAACTCAGTTGAGTTTGTTGAGATTTATAGGGTATTAAGGGGCATAATCGCCACCTTAATTCGCTCCTAAGTGGGGGAGTGATCTCCTCAAATCGTGGAAAACGGTTTTAAAACCGTTCAGCTCGTATTTGAACGAGTCAAACGCAAAATCCACGTTCTGACATGAATTCTATGTTCGAACATAGTGTTTGGAAGCTCGAACGTAGTGTCTGGAAGCTCGGACGTATCGGTTTGAAAGCTGCGTTTGCAGCATTTGGAAGCTGCGTTTGTAACGATTTGGAAGTTGCGTTTGTAGCGATTTAGAAGCTGCGTTTGGCAGCGGATGGAAGCTACATTTGCAGTGATTTGGAAGTTGTGTTTGGCAACGGATGGAAGCTGTGTTTGGTAGCGATTGGAAGCTGCGTTGGCAGCTAAATCTGAGCTGCGTCTGTAGCGTTCGGAGGCTGCATTTACGGCCGAACATGGGCTGCGTTGATAGCTGGATTTGAGCTACGTTTGCAGCATTTGGATTTGAATGTGAGCTGCATTTGCGGTCAGGTTTGAGTTGCGTTTGCATTGCTTTGACTCTAGAACGAGGCCACTTGCGTTTTGATTTGAAGAGAGCATCAATTTGTAGTCTCTTTTGTTAGAGCGTTGTAAAGATCGTCATCTTGTAACCTTCGTCTTGGATCCTTGAAAATATGAGAGTCGTCAGATTGTAATTCCCGATGTTGATCGTGAAGACTGTTGAATTAGAGCTTTCATCTGTTGTTGTGAAGGTTGTCAGATTATAACCTTCATCGATCTACGTAAAATATTTTAAATTATAGCCTTTTGTAAGCCGTCAAATTTTAACTTCCATCCTTAGTGTTTGATGGGGATCAGCTATCTGCAGTAATTTTTAGACAGTCTGCAACATGGGGGGGGGGGGGGGATCTATAAGATGATGATTCTTTCCTTGAACTGAAACATAAACGCAAGCTAATTGTAGCCTTCTGGAAGTCGTCAAATTCTAACTTCCATCATTGGTGTTTGATGGGGATTAGCTATCTACAGTAATTTTTAGACAGCCTACAACATGTTGGGGGGGGGTATAATCTATAAGATGATGATTCTTTCCTTGAACTGAAACATAAACTCGAACTAATTGCATCTTAAGTAGGTAATTAGACCCTATTCAATTTCTAGTCAGTGATCTTGCTAGAGAGCACCACCGTGTGGGTCTTCGTCCTAACTCTCTTGTCTACCAAAGTAGTAGAATAACCGAGGACGCCATCAATATAGTAAATAAGATCCTTCAACTAGTAATCTCTCGGTAAATAGTTATCAACCTCACCCAACAATCAATTAATTTTCAACAACAAATCATCAACAAGTAATCACATTAAGTAATCAATCCACAACAAGTAATCACCACAAGTTATCAATCCATTAAGTAAAACTATCCTATAAAGTTGATTTCTTCGAGAGAGTGACTTATCGCTTATGTCAAAGAGATCATTACTGACTAATCGTAAGATGAAGCTAAATAATTAGCTTAAGATCTAGGAAGATAGCTAAATGATTAGCTAAAAATCTATAAAGATATAATTGATAAGTCAAATGATTAGCTTAAGATCTATGAAAATACAATTGATAAGCCAAATGGTTAGCTCAAGATTTATGACGATCTAATTGATTAAGCCAAATGCTTAGCTCAAAACTTTTTTTTACTGTTCCAAATCTAGGGTGTACAGATCCGAGAAAGTTTTTTTGTGCCAAAGTCGATGGTTAGTGAACTAGGAAATGGGGGTTACTGAGCAGGGAGCTCGAAGACAACATGAGAGAAGGGGTTCAGGCCAGATCTAATCGGAGGGGCATGAACATTGTCGGGATTAACAATAACCACAGATGAGCAGTAACCGCGGAACAGTATTGGTCGAAAGTGGTGGCGGCTAAGGTTTGAGAGAGATAAAAGGTAGCGGCTAGGGTTTGAGAGAGTGGCAGATAGGGTTTGAGAGTGGCAGAAGGTGGAAGCTAGGATTTGAGAGGGCGGCGGCTAGGGTTTGATGGGTGGCGGCTAGGGTTTGGAAATTAGAGAGAGGAGATGTCACACCCCCAAAATAACTGCGGAAAATAGATATGAGGCATTCGACAATAACGATATTGTGAAAATGACGAAGGAATTGAGGAAAAGAATTGAGAAAAACGTGAAAAATAAGCAAGAGAGACTCCACCACACCCTGGTATGGTGTCTGCCATACCCAGGTGGCAGGATGTAGCAGAATCTGTCATGTTTATCATGGGTGTGGTGTCTGCCACACCCTGGTGTGGTAGAATCTATCATGTTTTCTATGGGTGTGGTGTGTGCCACACCAGGATATGACAGACTTATTTTTAGAATCCTAATCTATTTGGGATTGTGTTTTGTTATAAATAGAGCCACGTTTTTTAGGGTTTTCTATCGATTGATTGGGTACCTTGAAGGTGATTTTGAGCACGGAAAAGAGAGATATTTCTGAGCAATTTGTTTGAGGGTTTAGTTTGAGAGATTTGTTTGAGAGGTTAGTTGAGTGATCTTGTAATCTCTACTTTGTACTCTCTTTCTCTATAGTGAAAACACATCCCTTTTTGCCCCGTGGATGTAGGCAATTTGCCGAACCACGTTAAACTTTTGTGTTTGAGTTGGTGCCGTTATTTTGGATTGTTTTGGCTTTCTCTCTCGGCGTTTGTGTTTTTTCCGCCGTGCATAACAAGTGGTATCAGAGCACAACAAGTGGTATCAGAGCTCAACAGATACATGCGCAAGACAAGTCTCATGCATGTGTCAAGCCTGGCACTACATACTGCAAAGCTTGTCATAAAAATATAATTACTGATGTTGATAGTAGTTCAGAGCAATTATATACATAACCAATATTTTCAAATCCAAAATCTCACCATCATAAGTATTTACCTAACCCAAATACATCGTTTGGCTATATGCAAGGCAAAAGAGAGGCTTTCCTTTGTAACACCTCCAAGCAACATACTACAACAAGATGTTTAGCCTATATGCGAAGCTACACCAGATATAAAAAAAGGGGAAAATGAGGGATGAGCTAAAGCTCAGTGAGAACATTTCCCACTAGAGTTCCTATATATCTAACAAAATAATAATTCTAAAAAATAGTGAATTATAAGTTTTGCGACTATAATTCTGAGATGACAAAATCTTACATAAAAGAATATATTGTCAGTATTTTCAAGAAAGAATGCAATAATTTTAGAAATTCTTTCTTGTGTACAAACTAAATATATTGTCATGAGTTCCTGAATTAAACTTTTGTAATCAAGATAAACATTGGGAAAAGAGAATATTTGTTTAAAGCAAAAAAATTACCGTTTTCTCAAATTCACAGTCAAATATCAAAATCTCAAATCTTGATGAGTTGTTCACAATGTTGAAAGATCACCTCATAGGTCACACTAATGCTATGAATTATAGCCTAGTAGCATGGGATGTCGAAAGGCATCATATAACACATAGTTTCCTGGAACAGAATGCGCCTAACACTGCCACATGCCGTCGACCATATAACAAATGCCCAAAATGACCACATCACAAATGCCTAAAGGCGCCACATAAAGATGCATTCACCATATGGCAAGCACAAACACGTCACTCCATAGCAGACTTTTTGAGGGTTTTAAAAACATTGAGAATCACTTATCAAATAGCTTGATTTTAAAAACACATCATTATCAAATTTCTTAATTTCAAAAACTCAATCAATTGTCACATTACTTGATCTCGAAAACACATCGCTTGCACCAAAAGTAATATCAGTATAATTTTGTTCACTTGTGAAAAGTACAAACACTTCCAAATTAAGTGAACGAGTGTAAACTCGACATATCAATTAAAATGGTTCAATAAATTCACTTTATTTATTTTTGTTTCAAATACCAATTCATGAAAAAATCTCTTGAATTCGTTAGGCTACTGAAACACATTTAAATCACTTCTTTCCTCAATACCTTTCAAATAAAGCGATATTCACTGTTATTTGAGATCGCGTAAGAATCAAAATAACTTATTACATTTTATATGAATTAAATTTACTTTCAATATCTCATAAAATCAAAATTATATTATGAGTTAGGCCACGGCTGAATCAATCAAACCACATATCATTTTCTATACATGAAAATAATAGGATAATTATTTCTCAAGCACAAGATCAATCAATTATAACACTTGTGCAACGTTATAGTATAAAATACTAGTGTGAAATGAATTCGCCTTTAACGGATGCGAAATCCCCAAAATTTAATTTGCCTTGATATCAATCAGATCCTATAATATAAAATTATAAGGTTATTATCAATTTAAGGTAGACTCATGTTGTAAATTAGTCACTCTATAATATACATCCAAATAGGCTCAAATTAATTCTCATGACAAGGTTCACATAGATGTATTACTAATCCATGTAGCATTTCTTCAATAATTTTGGATATAGTCTACAGATAAGTATCCACGTCACAAGCTTACATTGTTCGAACTATTAGCAATGTCCTCGCCGGAAGCCTCTTCTTTTTTCTTCTTTTTTCTTTTTTTTTTCTTTCTTTTTTTTCACTTCTTTATTCTAACCAAAGCTAGAGCAACGATTCCGCAAGTTTCCTCCTTTTTTTTTGTCTAAACCAAATTCTAAAAATTTATTTGCTAAATAATACACATGTGATAGATGGCAAGCGGGTAACAAGCTGCGTCTGACAACGGGGAATGAAAACTTTTGCACAACATCCCCCAAACTCTGTGATTTGCATATATTATCCTTTGTGAAGAGAAGTAAAATTTATCATTTATTAAGGGATATTGCATGCATGAGATAAGGTGACTCTTATACCATGTTAATGTAAGAACTCTAGAGAGATTATTAGATCTCTCTTGAATGTTATTTATTATGTTTAGAAAAGCAAAGGAACCAACGCGGGACTAAAATTGAGAGCTTTTAAATAAGCCTTAAAAGTTATTGACTGGATTCCGACAAGTCAGTTCAAAACAACGGCAAGGTTACCAAAGAGAACATATCACACGTACGCAACATGAACAATGGTTTTCGCCCAAAGAAAACATAAAATCTGCACCACATGAAATCTCCTTCTCGAATCAAGTCATCATAGGAAAAGAAATTTGTGGGTTTTTCCAATATTTTCCATTGAAATAAAATACCTCAGAGCATGACCCAAGTCACGACGAGGAAACTAATTTATTCCAGGACGTAAATCATAAGATGCCAATCCTTTTTTAGTACAACAACACGGACCCTTTTCTTTCTTGGCCACATTAAGTTTCTAAGCAGTAGGCCAAAAATTACTCCGACCCCCTTATTCATTTCATCTCCGAAGATATAACACGACCAATAATCATTTCACCGTAATCTGCAAGAAGTAAATAAACACAAGAACCATTAGCACGCTTGTTTTAATTACATCGATAAAGAAAGCCAAAGTATTTACCGAGGGCCAAAGTAATTCATATCAAGTAAATACTGTCCAAAACTGCGAACCCAGCTGCAACTCCCCCTTCATTTGATGAGGAAACTTTGGTTCGCATCAAATAACCAGGTTGAGCATTCATGACGACCTTATCCTTGTTCCTACAACATTTTGACATCCAGGTCTTTTTAACAACAGCCGACAAGCAAAACATAAGAAGAGTGGCTTATCGATATTAGCCCCCCCTTGAATCTTTCATAGTTTGAAATTGCTCTTGTCAGATCGTTGAAGTTTTTACACAGTCCCCTAACTCTTTAAGTCGTTTTGAAAGCAGCCCCTTAAATCATCGGAATTAATGTTTGGTCCCCCACGTCTCGTTAATCCCTCCGATTGCTACTTCTGCTCTTGATTGGACGGACTAATTCCAAAATGGCTTAAGATTGGTGGACCTGATAGCAATTTCAATGATTTGAGGGGCTGATTCCAGAGAAACTTAAGAATTAGGGAACTCGATAGCGGTTTCGGGAATTTGGAGGACTAGTTTGAAACTACGAAAGATTCAAGGAGCTAATGTTGGGGGACAAAAAACCAAAAAGGAAAAATTTTGCAAGATGTTACAACCTTAGATAAGCTCCATATATTCCAAGTTCGGATATAACTTGATCTTGGTAACATTTACCCTTTCGAACAAGATAAGCTAGTGAAGTTTTGGGAAATATCCTCTGCATCAAAATGTATGCAGCTAGTTCCTCGCTTCCTGCTTGTTGTAGCTTAACAAGTGTTTTCCTCACATCTTCACCATAAATATTATTCCCTGGAGGCGAACAAAGTCACCATTAAAGTTAAGAAAAGATGTTACAGAAATGGGTGTTTCTCACATTAGACCCAAAATTCTATATATTTTCGAAAAGTTCATATCCTTTCAAAATGGTGTGTTATTTAAAACAATGCAACGCATTTGGGGGTGTAAATTACAAATATGAAGATGTGGAGAATTAATATAAAAATGAGATAGAATTTAGGGTATAATTTAAAAAAAAAATCTAAAAAAAGGAGGCAACTTCCATAGGCATACAGGGGGGAAATCTAACCTCCTCCTTCTCGTTGGGGTTTGAGAACAAAAATTTCAGGTCTTTCCATTGCTCCATTGACCCCTTCTGGATTGTCCAAACTCCACAAACCGGCAAAGCACTTACGTAGTTTTGCAATGTCCTCCTCATTTTCAAGGAACCTAATAGCGCAAAAAATCAAAGTTGCAAATGCTGTATTAAGCTTTTTAACAAGAAATTTATACAGGAAACATAGCCCTTTAATAAAGGATTATCATTATAAAACAAGGTTGATCTTAGTACCTGCATAATATTCCAACCTATAATCCTAACTGCTCTCCGTTGAGTAATTTTATAAATATATGAATGCAGCTTCTAAGATGCTTGCTGAATATTGGATATTCGTTGTCACAATTATAACAATTAGTTCTTACCATTATAGATCTATGAAAAGCATTCTCACAAGCACCTGTTAGCGTATTAATACATAAGCAACTATGCTGTCATCCACTAATAATGTGATGATTATACATTCTTTGTGCTGAATATATATGAATACATATCATTTTACTCCTATAGCTATCGAATCATGCTATAACACACCTTGGTTTCAAAATTAGTATAAACCAGAATTTTTGTTACCTTTCCAGTACATTTGGCTTTGCTAGTTCTTGTTGAATCTTCTTGGTACCTGCCAAATGATAGGATATTGATGGGCACTTGATTGCATTGGATTTTTCTATCGAAAATCTAGCCCTCCACTCCTGTTGAATAAAATTACAAAGATGGTATTATCTGAAAGGGTGCTCTATTAAATGATGGAAAAGATAGCTCCGAAAAAATTACAACATTTTCAAATTAGAAAAATGACAGAGCAACACATACTGATTCTGATGGATAATCATTAGGTGAGTAACCAGCTCTGAAATAGACCACTGCGACTGTATGGCCGCCTCTGTATATATGAATTTCTGAATTTAAATTTCTTATCATGCAACATATAGAGTATTTTCTCAAATATTTTACTATTAATTCAAACATCATTCCTAAAATAACGGAGTTGAGTCATATAATATTGTATGAATTCTTGCTTACATGATTAATGACCCATCTGGTAGGACCTCCCCTTCAGCATCTATCTCGGCCAAAGTTTTCCGGACGCTTGTTATGCCGTGCGTGTCATTAAGTCAAGAAATATACAAAATTGTGTGTTAACAAAAAACCACAAAGATAGAAAGATATAACTGACCTTACATAGACTCAATGACTGCTTCAATATAGCTTCTTTATTATAGTATTGACTATAGGTTTAATTGCTAGCCTTTTATATATTTAGTAAATCTTTAGTGAGGCTATCCAACAGAAGTATGTCTATTTAGATCTATCTGTGATTTAATCTATGAGTCATCCAGTAAAGCTTTTACACAGAGGGACGACCTTCTACTATAAAAAGGAATGGATTGGATAGTAAAATTTGAGATTGTTTTAGAAGGTTGCTCCCTCTTCTTTAACAGCAAATTGTTGGTGAATGTTGGGTATGAAAGCCTAAAACTTGACATGGAGTCTTGACTCGATATAAAGTTAATATGTGGTTGTTAAGGCTTTCATCATATCTTCTATTTTATCTTCCTAAGACTCAAACTAAACCAAATCCCCCAACATTCTCTCTCAAATCCTAATTCCCACCAATCTATGTGCGTCATTCATATGTAAATACGTGGACTTGGCATTTATACATGTGCCATCGTATTTTTCCATGTGTTGATATGTATTTACACATGTGCCTGCCATCATATTTATACATGGATGTATATTGTTATGTGTGTGCATGTACAAATGTGAATGTGGCATTCATGCAACCATTACTAATCAATTACTTAGTTACTTACATATTTATGTATGTATGGACGTATAAATTTATGTTCTTTGTATGATATGAATGTGCATACACCGAGATTGAGAGAGCGCATTCATCTCTAGGAAAAAATAGTATCCTTATGACTAAGAAAAAATAGAAATGGACTTTTTCCTGTATTCATCAGCAAGAAATTTCTTATACTGCGTCCCCCTCGTATTTGAACATTCATCCATACTAACCCTATTTTACAAATTTTCTAGTTTTAGATGTAAGATTCCTTTTAAGGTGTTACTCAGGCAAATTCTTTCAGAACAAAACAATAAACCACGGACATTAACTGTCACTAAAAGAAGAAAAAATTTCTGAGAGTGTTAGTAGGATATATTTCCTTCAATGTAGAAGAAAGCCAATGCTGGTCATACATGTTGTGCTCTTCAGGTTGAACAACAACCAGAACAACAGAACTGGAAAATCCACGAAGAATAAAGTTAGCACAGGGATGAACTTTTTACCCTGAAAACAAAAGAAAAATAGCGAAGGACTCCACAACCTGCTGTTATCATATTCTTTCCATGCTTTAGCTAATGCTTCAGCAAATTGACTGACGGCCGAGTTTCCAGGAACTTTTCTTGAATCTAAACCCAATCGATTACCATAGTGGCTGAGTAAGTTCCTGTATCATGATTTAAAGATGCAGTTTCACCATTAATCACAGTGGGAAGCAAAGAAACCTAAATGCTTTACTGCATAGCAACAGAGAATATTTGAAAGCATGTCGTGCCATTTTTCTGATAGCTATATTTAAGTTTGTGTGTCTACATAAGGTGCTTGTTTTTCCCCCATCTATCATATAATTATGAACCTCAAACAGAAAACCATACAGCACTCTCATTCTGCATAAACTATATAGCACTGACACTTCGAAGGAGTAAATGCATCATACCATATAGAATGTGTCATACCATATCTGATATGTATGCGGCACTCAATGAATAGGTACCTGATACTCCCTTTGCACCCCCAAAAACTTACAATGTATCACACCGTACCCAACACAGATAAATATCATAGATGTATCGGAAACTATAGAGTTAAATTTATTGTGTGTGTGATGGGTTCATAATTGCATTAATATAATTTGACCAGTTTTGTAATAAAAATTATGATTATTCAAGTAATTGATTAAAAGCGCTCATGTATAACTTGTTATCATCTTATCCGTGACGTATCAGCGCACTAACTTTTTAGGACTCACCTTATTTATATAGCAATATCCTTTTGTATCTCAATTGGTGCACATGTATGTACCAATATCCATGCAGCAATACCTTGATACCTCTTATATTTACTTTTTTTTCTTTACGCATATTCATGCCTTGGTCCTTTGAAATTTGGCATATCCTCTGTCTATATCATATCTTATCTATATCCTGTACCTGTGTCAGTGCATCAAAAATTATCGCCCACGACTAACTGGCATAAAACACTAAGTAGATGGGCTGATTCAAGGCAACTGCTTTGCTCTGGCAATGCTTGGGATCAAATCTAGTAGGAAAGAAAAAACAATAGAATGTTTCTATATTATTCAGTTGACAGGAAGCAGGCAGCAGGCAGCACGCAGCATTACGGTGACATTTGACATGATTACCAGTACCATACACAAGCTTATTTAGATGTCCTAAACATGACTACCAAATATTTCAACTCAAAACCTCAAGCCAACTAAGAATCAAGTAAAGATGGTTGCAACAATTTATTTTTTGCCCAATATTATGTTGTCATATAGATTCAACAATGATTACTGTAAACACAAAGTAATCGATACTAGTAACTATTGCAAATTCACATATCCAGTAGTGACTTGTCAAAAGGATTTTTATGAAGCTCAAACTGCAAATTTAGTAATAACATGTCCAAGGAACGCCAAGATATAATAGATCAGAAAATGATCAAATTCGATCAGAGATTTGAACCAGATGCATATTTTTGTAAAATCCTTCCTAGCATAAGGAAAATAATAATATCTTAATGGATAAAGCCGATATGAGACCTGAAGAAAAGAGGCCTTTATGTGGTCTGGAACTTGGTCAAAACCAATCCAAATATAAGAGTAAAACACAAGCACAAGAAAGCTTTTATCAGACAGAACCTTTTAAAATGTCTAATATCGTCCAAGGAACTATTAAGTAAAAATTTAACACAAATGCTGCATGCAGTAAATAAAATCTCAAAAGCTATCCTCGAAAATTCGTACACACTACAACAAGAGTTGCAACTTGCGACACAAATTTCTCCATACAAGTAGTCATTGTTATAAATATCCCCAACACGGCCCGATATATCCCCCGATATATATCCTTTTATAGGGCTTGCCGCAACTGATATGGTCTCTAAATATCCTTTACTGCTTTTTGGGCAATACATCCCCGATATGGCCGATATATCAACTAATATGTTAGTTGTTATATGCTTTTATATGGCTTGTCACAAAATAATATACCGCGTCTGACAATTTTTGGGCAAGATATCATTATTTTCATATTATACAAATGACATTTTGGCCTAAAAAATCAGACCAAATGTTGCAACATTGATTTGTACTTTTGTTTGTTTTACAAGGCTGATTAGTGATACTAAACATATATTAGTTATATTTTGTATGCTTAGATTTCTGTAAGTATGTAGAGGTTACATTTTAGTGCATTATAGTATATATGAAAATACCCGTTATAACATTCCGATATTTACCACATATCCCTGATATATCCCTGATGTCCGCAATCCGATATGAAATTTGGCCATCCGATATTTCCCCGATATTCGATATTTAAAACCTTGCAGGTAGTATGTGTGGTTAGAGTAGCAATATGTTGAATAGAGGTGACACAATAAAAAATTATCCTAAGTTCCAACACTTATTTGTGTTGTGAGATGCTAATGAATTAAAATAAAAATAAAAAAGAGTTAGTTTAGTCTGGCGATTTTCGTGTCAAGATGTTAGTAATTATCATTTTCTCTACTTAACTGTGAATAACTTATCCTTCTGCTCCACTAGAAATGAAAAAGCCTAGCACGAAACCTAACACACTGATAAACACCTATGTCTGAAGGTTAAATTTGTGGATTTTGGCCTTGAGGAGGTTAGCTTGCACTTAAGGATCAGGAATTCCTCATCTCTCAAAATTCCCACAAAATTTATCCCAAATAACCCACTATGGCATTCCCTTCATCTCTCTATCCAAAATATTAAGCAACCCTAAATACCCCAGGAGGCTCGATTCCGATCTCAAATACTAATCCCTGCGAACCCTAATAGAGCTCTGACATTGACTTCAAGTTCCTCCCCCTCTCCGCCTCACGATCTCAAACACTAATCATCTTCAGCGATCCCAACCTCCACCTCACGACACCCTAGCCTCCATCGTGGATCTATGAAATAAACCAAACAAAATCAAACCACCAATTCCCAGAAACAAATCCCACCATTGCTTCTTCATTGTTGCTGTTGAAGCCGGGAGCCTCCTCCTTGGCTGAGTCCTGCAACATCAAGATGCTCATTTTCATCAACCTCACTCCCTCATGGATATCCAGTTAGTCCAACATCAATTCAGGTGCAAGGAATATAGTTGTTTAAATGTGATTGTCAGATTGATGCGGTTGAATAGCTGAATTGCGAAACAACTTACGGGGAGACATTTTCTCAAATAAGACTTGATGTAATAGTGTTGGGATCAGTCTGAACAGGAACGATGATATGTGGAAGGATTGGTGATTGACTTGTATATAAGGTTGAGGGTGGTACATAAGATATGTAAGTGTGCTTTATATTATATTGGTGGGCTTCTGAATATTATAGTGGTGGCTTCTGAACATATATGGGCTTTACAGTGGTGGGATCAGACAACTAGGTCTCTCATTTATAAATCATAAAAGTACTAGTCCTTTCAACACAAATATGTGTCGTCGTCACTCTTGATACATATTTGTGTAACCACTCTCGATACATCTCATGTGTCATGACTTTCGTGACACATTTGCACATGTAGAGAAAGATGTTCTCCCCACGTGCTCTAACCGCACTTTTGAGATGTGTCACGATGCACTTGTGTGACACAAAAATTGTGTCACTAGATGAAAGAAAATGTGTCATAGGTTACAACTTTTGTTGTAGTGACATCTTGAAAGTTAGGATCCTAATGACGAAGGAATATAGATAGTGAAGTGTAACACAATTAGTAGAATATCAAATTAAACAGAAGATTAATGTAACCTGTGTAGCTTGCTCACAAGAGTACTAAGACCAGGAAATGAAGATGCAATGGTGTTGAGCTCTATTTGCAAAAGTAGGCCAGTTTCTGCATCCAACATATAATCTGACCGGTGCAAGCCTAAACGTATATCCTGGCATGTTATTGAGATGAAATTAATTGTCTTTAAAAAAAACTAAAAAAGGAACAAAGTATGATTGTCAAAAAATTAAAGATAAAGAAGGTTTGCTTGATATATTCCCATATGGGAAACTTAAGTCCCTACTTAGAGAGTTACCTCCTTTTTGTTGATTTCTAGCATCTCTGAGTGAATATCCAAGAGTCTGCTAGTAAAAGCATCCACTTTCTTTGTTCTGCAATATGTAAAGAGAAAAGTAACAAAACAATGGAACTGAATGGAAAACAAAATGCCTATATGACCATTAGAAATAGGTACATTATTAATCCAAAACCAGAACTCATGTGAATAAAGCTTTATTTAAAAAGAAAAATTAGAATTGAGATAGCAATTGACATGAAAGTCACAGACAAAGAATGCTTGATGAACATTCTGCGTATGTACTATGGTAACAGGTGTAACCTTACAGTGTGGCATATAAATTGAAATCCACATGATTCGTAATGATTTGAATGACTTCATACACATATTTGTCAAAACCTAGCCACTTGAATGGTTTCAAACTAAAATTTCTAAACATCTATTGAAAAATACCATTTTTTAATATTAAAAAAAAACTCTTGTTTTGTAGGTTTGGAATTCAATAGCCAAACACTGCGAGAATATTTAAATCTTTAGTGTTTAAATGATTATACAATGTTGAACTATGGCTTGAGATTGAAAGGATGCAGCAAGATTCAGACAGGGCCCTGTCCAGACCCTCTCACAGACACAGAGCTGTCCTAAATCAATACCAATCATCACAATGCTCTACCGGATTCAGTAGAACATAACAGGGTTCCAAAAGGGCCCAGTCAGAGTCCCCGGTACCCAAAACAGAAATTAACTTTCTGTGTTTTGGCAAATCGACTTCAACCAAAGTCTGTCAAAACTGGCATTGGGTTTCCAGATATGGAATTTCTGTGTGGTTAGTGTTAAGAGTTGAGATTTATTGGTATCTTTTGTATAAGAATAACTCTATAAAAAGGGTTTTCCATCAGGTTTAGGATATGCAACCCCAAAGGTTTTATGCTAGACAGCTTGAGAGAGAGGTAAAACTACAACAAGGAGTCTCTAGCAATTGAACATAATGAACTTCTAAGTTGCTTAACTGATGAACAGAGACATGTGTATGATAGAATTATCGATGCTGTTTCTCAGAATAATGGTGGAGTTTTTTTCGTTTATGGATATGGTGGTACAGGAAAAACATATCTGTGGAGAACATTAACTTCTGGCTTACGTTCAAAAGGTAATATTGTACTTACCGTAGCTTCAAGTGGTATTGCTTCCCTATTGTTGCCTGGTGGAAGGACTGCTCACTCACGATTTGGTATCCCATTGTGTATAACTGAAGACTCAACATGCAACATAACACAAGGTAGTCCTCTCCTGAGCTATTAACTAAAAAAAAGCTCATCATTTGGGACGAAGCACCTATGGTGCATAGGTTTTGTTTTGAAGCTCTTGACAGATCTTTAAGAGATGTTCTTAGATTTTCAAATCCCAACAGTTTAAATCAATCTTTCGGGGGAAAAGTGGTTGTGTTTGGAGGAGATTTTAGACAAATATTGCCTGTGATTCCTAAAGGCAATAGGGCCGATATTGTTCTTGCCACGATAAATAGTTCATATTTATGGGACAACTGTCAAGTTTTGACTCTCTCTCAAAATATGAGGTTACAAGCAAGCTCTTCGAATAATGAGATTTCGGAATTAAGAGAATTTTCAGATTGGTTATTAAGTATTGGTGACGGTAGACTTGGTGAGCCTAATGATGGAGAAGCATTGATTGAAATTCCAAATGATCTACTTATCAAGGATTTCACTAATCCACTTGCGGCTATTGTTGACAGCACATATCCGAATTTATTAGATAATATGTTTAATGTGAATTACCTTCAAAATAGAGCCATCCTCGCTCCGACGCTTGAAATCGTTGAAATGGTCAATGACTACATCCTTTCATTAATTCCCGGAGAAGAAAGGGTTTATCTGAGTTTTGATAGTGTTTGTAATGCTGATGGGGATATTGATTGCCAAGCAAATTTACATACTTCAGATTTTCTAAATGGTATTCGGTGCTCTGGGATACCTACCCACAAGCTTAAATTTAAAGTTGGAGTCCTGTAATGTTATTGAGGAACATAGATCAATCATCTGGTTTATGCAACGGGACAAGGCTAATTATCACTCAGTTGGGCAATCATGTCATTGAAGCAAAAGTTATTTCAGGAAGCAATATTGGGATGAAAGTTTTTATTCCACGAATGGTGATGACTCCATCAGATTCAAGATGGCCTTTCAAGCTGCAAAGAAGACAATATCCTTTAATAATTTCTTTTTCTATGACTATAAATAAAAGTCAGGGTCAGTCACTTTCTAATGTTGGACTATACCTTCCGAGGCCTGTGTTCAGTCATGGGCAATTTTATGTGGCCATCTCTAGAGTTAGAAGTAAGAAGGGTTTGAGAATTTTGGTACATGAAAAGGATGGTCATGTTGCAAACACCACGAAAAATGTGGTCTTTAAAGAAATATTTCAGAATATTCGGTAGCTATTTCTCAAAAAACCTTGTCCTTTCGGATATACCTTAGTTATCGCTTTGCATTATAGTTATTTCATCAAATTTAGTTTCATATATATCTCTGTGTATTGATGATTACATGATTGATATTCAGATCTACTTTCTTTTTATAGTTCTTTTATATGTTGCTTCTTTTTTATGAGGAATCCTCGCAAAATATTATTCCTAGCGTACTATTATATGATAAGTTGCATTAACATTTAAATTACCAAATTCGTCATTATACATGTATTTATATTGATATACAGATTGAATATGGCACCAAAACTGGATTTCATTTCTGAAATCAACCCAGACAAGGAAACTTGGAAAGTGATGGTTAGAGTCATAAGGTTATGGAATGTCATGAAATTCAATATTCCGAATGTGATCAACAATATTGAGCTGCTTTTACTGGATGAAAAGGTATTCTCTTTCACTCTTCAATCAATCTTCTTATCAATTCAGTTATTATTTTCCTTTAATGTATATAATTTAAGATTATACATTTTTGATATTTTCTTTTTTAATGAAAGGGAGGAAAAATTCAAGCAACGATAAAGAACAAATTGATTGATAAATTCAAGTCACAATTGAATGAAGGCAACTGCTATCTGATTACGAATTTTGGTGTTGGAGAAAATGCTGGAAATTATAGAGCTACTGATCACGCATATAGAATTAACTTCCTCTACTCTACTTTTGTTAAAGAATGTGAGAGTTCTGCAATACCTTCCTATTCATTTGGATTAGTTGACTTTGGGGATATAATTGCTAATCGTATCAACTCAACTACCTTAATAGGTAAGATTAAATGTCAACTATTTCAAATTAAATTTAAAGTTTAATATTTTTTTAATTTTAATAATACTGTTTTCTAATATAGTTGATACTTATGTGCTTTTTAATATTTTCTTTATATTATACGCCATTTGTCAGATATCATTGGAGAGCTGATTACTATTGGAAATGTAAAAGAAGTTGAGAGCAATGGAAGTAAAAGAAAATTACTGGAGCTTGAACTCCAAGATTGCAAGTGAGTACAAATATATACAATTAAATTACGTATTACTTATAGTAATCAGCATGCGTGAGCGATTGAGTTTGTGTATATGCATTTCATTCTAAATATTTATCTACTTGCAGCAACATTAAATTGCAATGCAGTTTATGGGGTGATTACGCACTTCAAGTGGCCGATTATGTACAGAATGCTAATTCAGGAATTATAATAATGGTGTTTCAGCTTGCAAATACAAAACCATATGGAGGTAAATATTTATTGGAAATATAATAAATTTTTAAAAAAGAATATTTTTTTTTCTTATATTATGCTTGCTTATTGACAAAATAATAATTTTAAAATTTTTACTTCTTAGGTAAAATTACTATTACAAATGCCTTGTATGCGACGAAGATATTAATCAATCCCAACATACCTGAAGTTGCTGATCTAAAGAAAAGGTACATGATAAATTATCTGATTCATTAGTTATTTACAAGTTATTTAATATTATTTCTAATTAATTTATTTTTACGAACACAAGTCTTAAACTTGTGGAAAATTCATCGTCTCAACGATTTGGTCAGATTCCAAAGGAGAAAGCTTATTCTATTGAGGAGGATTTTTTGTTATTAACTGAACGGAAGACACTTGATGAAATTCGAGAGGCACGAGAGGTAATTTTTTTTTGAAAAAACCCATATTTTATTGAAATTGAACATCTTATTTAAAATGTGGGATTATTAGCAAAATAAACATCTAATCTTAACACAACAGATAATTTTCTATCAAATTAAACATAACTTTATTTTCTTACTATTTAATAATACACAGGTTTGCACATGTGTGACATTAGCAACTATAGAGAAAATTCAAACAGATTATAATTGGTTTTACAATGCATGCAAAAAATGTCAAAGGAAGGTAAAGACTGAAGATGGTAAATTTTGGTGTGAGAAGTGCAATGAAAACGCAAGATTTGTTATCCCAATGTATGTGTTGAAGTATGTATGTCAGTTTCTTCACACGTTATATTCGATCATATTCTTCATGAATGAAAGTCTATATCTTCAACGTACACTTTAGATCACATTTCTTATTAGTTTTTTTTTTTTTTTTTTGAGTTTTATCAGGTACAGAGTCCAGGTTTTAGTCATTGACCATACATGTACTGCATCATTTGTACTGTTTGATCGAGAAGCTAAACAAGTTATTCACAAATCTGCGGTCGAATTGAGGGAACGACTAACAAAAGTAATCACTATAATGGATTTCTGTCAAAATTAAATGCTTTAATTAATTCAATAGCTTTACTTATTTAAATTGTCCCCAGGAAGGTGATGATGATTCATTTCCTCGTGAGTTAGATGTGTTGGTGAAAAAAAAAATTTGTTCAAAATACAAGTTTCAGAATTCAATCTCAACCAAAATTGGCCTGTATTTTCCGTCTCAAAAATGACTGATGATGAAAATCTGATAGCAGCTTTCAAATACAGCTTAGATTTGAACCAGGTACATTACATATTTCCTTCTTTTATAAAGCTACATATGTATTCATTTCATGTATCACTCTGCATATATAAATGAAGTTGAGCAATGTATTAGTAATATTTTTTCATTCTAAATCATTAGGAGTCGACATGTCAAGAATATTTCACTGATGAAGCTGAATCTTCCAAAAAGAAAGTTCACCTTGATAATGTAAGTCAACACACTTAGTATAACTTCTCTTTTTCATTCCTAATGTTTGTATTTTTTTTTAATTATTTTTTGGAGTAAAATGAAAAGTAACTATTGACGTCATACCATACGCTTTATATGTATAACCTCCATCCAGGCTGAAGTATCATCATAACTAATACTAACACCTCAATACCTATCTTCATAATTAAGGGGACATCCGGACAAGTTAAAATTCTCGAAAACCCAATTTCTGCTGTATATTTCACAATACTTATTTCAGAAGATACACTTTTGATGTTTCTGCTTATTACACAGTTATCACTTTGAATTTTGTTTTACTATTCCTCTCTTGATTCTTCACAATAACAGTTCCAGAAACTTTTATTTATATCTTATAATTATACTAACTAAATAGATAAAATAAACATGCCTTTATTTTCCCAAAATGTGTAGAATATGAATTTAATGTTAGATTTTTTAAAAGAATGCATTATATATTGTTAGATTCTTATCTAACATATGAGTACAATGAATTTTAACAATACAGGATTTTTTAACCATTTGAGTTTTAGAAGTTTTCACATCAAATAAAAGATTGAAGTTTAGTTAACATTATTTGTGTATTATGTTCTATTTGTCATTGACCCATTATCAAATTATTAAAGCTTCTAATTAACTTTTGACACTTTGCATAAAAATCCTCTGTATTGCCTACTTCTTTTCACCTTACTTATGATTTCTTAATTCTTCACATTAATTGTAGAACAATCTATTCCTACCACCTCATTAACATGCTAACTATTATTTTATTTTATAATAATGAAACACAGGTCTCTTTATCTGTCACTTGTGACAATACAGAAGTTGAAATTTGTTCCTCGGATAACATTATACCTTGCAAGAGAAATTTGTTCGAATCTGATGTCGAGCAATCTGTTTCAGTGGACTTGATCTCTCCGCAAATGTCAAGCAACAAAAAGGAAAAACATATCAAAATTGAAAAAGATAATTACTAGATTCTACAGAGAGTAGAAGCTACATTTTGAAGGAAAAAACCTATCTGATTTATGATGTATGAAACTTATATTTAGTATTCTTGTATGAACACATATTTAGTAAGCTTTTGTAATCAGTGCAGATTATTTTGGTGGTTTTGGTTTGGTAAACCTAAATATTTGATATGATTATGCTATGCTGGATATTTGGTTTATCTATATATTAATAGTTATTATTTTCATTCAAATATATATAATTGACATGTATCTCAATGTGCTTTGAATATTTTGTTTGGAACTAAAAATTATGCTTCATACTAATTACTTGCTATAAAAAAATATTATGACATTAATCATAAAGACATTAGGCATTTTAAGCAGTTTTGTTATGAGAATATAAGAATTATATTTTCATTCTTTTTACCAGTTTAATATTAAGTCAAACATATATACAGCTTAGGTTGTATCATTTCTGACTACTTACATATTATTACCGTTTTATTTTGTATTATTTTTCTACAGCAATTTTTGTATTTTAGAGAAATCCGTGCATCGCACGGGCTTGAAACTAGTAACTCTATAAAAAGGGTTTTCCATCAGGTTTAGGATATGCAACCCCAAAGGTTTTATGCTAGACAGCTTGAGAGAGAGGTAAAAGTGAGAAGAGGAGAGATCAATATCCTTGTGAGGACTTGCAAGAAACTGTGTGATTGTAATCTTCCTCGATAAAGTAAAGATATTCCCCTCTCTTTCTGCCATGGACATAGGCATATTGCCAAACCACGTAAATCTGGAGTTCTTGCTGTAACTGCTTGTTTGTTTGATTGTTATTATTCTTGTGATCGTTATAAAGTTATCCACACCAAAGCCTGGAAAGCACAATAGGACATTCCCGATAAACACTCAACTTCTACTTGGACTCATTACCACTCCCATTCAAAACCACACTACACACCAGACACAAAAATGAGCAGACTAACATTCATAAAAATAATAACTCCACCTAACTTTAAAAGAACTGATTGTAAATTTTAAATAAAACATTCTGCTAAAATTCCACAAGATCGTCACTGTGAAACCATTTTCATTTGACAAAGCGATACAATAATGCATTTGATGGGCAGATCAACACATGCCATCATTTCTAAGAGGACCTGCTAATGATGTAGAAATAGCAAAGACATGGTCAAGAAATTCAGAGACAAACAGGTCGTTTGGGCCACAGAACAGACAAAAAAGGGTTTGGTGACTGATGAAGGCAGTTATTGGTGGAATAAATGAGTGATTATAGAGGATACTCTCTAAGAGATCAGAGCTTTTAGGTGAAGACTTAAACAAATAGCATAGAACATAATCACGGAAATCATAATTTATTTATTTTAGTTTTTGAGAGAAATAATACTAATAATTAAAATATGCGTGCCGTTTTGCATAATCATGGAAATCATAATTTATGTGTGCAGTTTTGCATGTTGTTTGATGAACATGTAAATAGATACTCCTTTTCTCATTCATCTTTGTACCATGCACAAGCAACCACCAAGGCTTCCATATAATTTGGTAATTGAAATCATTCATAAACTATCTTTCATCATCCTGAACTTGGATTAGAATAGAATGATGATGAAGTAAATTAGACAAGCAACACCCTGCTTAGGAAAATGAGTTAGTCACGATATATTGGTTTCCGAGAGAAGAAAAAGCGAACTATGTAATCCTGTTACTGGCACTTGCTAATCAAAGGTTTTGAAACATTGATCCTTTGCATTCTCAGTACAGCACAGCATGTAAGTCCATTTGATCATCCATTAGTATTAACTATAAATATAGCAAGACATTTATTATTGGGTTGCCAAGATTTGGATTAATACTGGTGTAAATCAGGTTTCATTAGCTTTGCCAACCCATACATTCAAAATTATCTATCCTTTGGATATTGAATTGAGGTATATAGAATAATCTGTAATACCAACACAAAATTCCATAGCAAAGAGCAATCTACGTATTAGTTGAAAAGAGCAGTATGAACATGAAAAATAGATCACAAATCAAGAAATCTTTCATTCTAATGCTAAAATTTATCAATTAGTTACTAATGAAATGATGTATGTGAGTTTGAAGCACCACGAGCAAACTCACCATTATATAAGCATGTATAAAGAAAATTAATATACAAATAAAGAATCAAATGTATGAGGAAAAAACCAAAGGATACCCGAAAATATGTGATCGCTCATTAGAATTTCTTTCAAAGAATATAAAAATAGTATTATTGTACAAGAACTGTGATGATACAATGCCATAAATAAAAAAACGAATTAGCATTCCAAAGCACAAACGCAAACTAGCTGAAGCAGAATTGTTAGATATCATTAATATTGAGATATTAGTAGATATTATAAAATATTGTTGATATTTTGTGAGATGTCATTTGATATGCTTATATCTCATACGTATTTTGTAATATCCTCCTAGTCTCTATTTAAGATAGGTTAGGTTAGATGAATAATATCATTACATTTTATATTTTCTCTACATGGTATCAAAGCTTACTCGATCCCAGGAAACTTCTACGTTCCTTCTAGGCCTTGAGGCCGTCGAGGGGTTTTTCCATGGCCTTCATGCTCCCCTCGACAGCTTCACAACATCTTCAGCTTTGGCAACAACTTCGTGGCAGATTCCTAAATTTATATCAAAAACCTTCACAAGACCTATCTTCAAAGCACGTTCATTATGGAGTTACTGTTCATCATGGCTACTTCTTGCATCTTTTGCTGAGTGTCTTCAACAACTTTAGATGCAATCTAAATCAGATTTGCATCATCGGGTTTCTGGTGCACCTACATTCAATATGCGCAACATCGCGTCAAATCCGTCTTTGACAAAGCCGTCCAAGATTTTTTTTTTTTGTCCGTTCCTTCTATAGATCCATCTAAGATTTGTCTAGTCTCTACCTTCCATAGATTGGGTGCCACTTCAATCACTCGAGCACAAGCCTTCTACATTCCGTCACCAACCTACTGGTTTACATGCCTAATGTTTCTACTGGTTTACAAATCTAAGATTTCTACTGGCTATGGCTACAATTTTTGATTGATGACGTCTTCAAGTATTCCAGGAAAAAATGACATTATCAAAGCTCTAGCAGTTAGTTGTTTTATTTCCATTTGTAATAAGTTGGACATATATAATATATATGCTCCAGCTTGAGGAAGAGCGCTAGATGTTATTAATATTGTGATGTTAGTAGATTTTATGAGATATTATTGAGATTTTGTGAGATGTGATTAGATATGATGATTTTATTCCATACCTATTTTGTAATATCCTCTCAATCTCTATTTAAGAGAGGTTAGGGTTTGATGAATAATATCTTTTCCTTTTTAGTTTTCTCTACAGGGATATTCTAGTAACACTAACACATCCCATTTTTCATGGATTTTCAGCAGAAACATATGTTTTTCATTGTGGTTAGTACAATCTGCAACTAAAGAACATAATAACCAAAAAAGTTTATTGAAAGTACAATATGCCGAAAGCACCTACATAACAATCATGATTTTCTACAACTAATCATACAGATCATTCAATTGCATAGTTTAAGATGGTGATAACGAGGATGTGAGAGGTTAACCTGGATAAGGAATCTTGTAAAAACTTTCCATCCAAGCTGACACAATCCACGAGCTCATTGAAAATGGGAGTTAATTCACAAGCTTGCCTCCAATAATGTTCTGGAAATGGCATGGGCAAGAGAGCAAGTGGGGCATGAACCAAGCCTACGCCAGGGACTGTTCCTGATCTCTGCAAGGACTAAATCAGCATTAACTCTTTTTTATAGAAATAAACCTCTAGATAAATCATGTATTTGAGCCAACAAAATAAAGAGGTTAGCATAGTTGTGAATCATGTGAAAGGGGAAAAAAACTGATGCATTAAAACTAGAAGAATTCAAATTAAAGCCTCTATCAAATAATTGAAGGATGTTATCAACAACTATTAGTTAACAAAGCAATATAGTTAATTTTTACTAGAAAATTGTTTTTTTTCCTTGTTCCTCAATTAAGGAAAAATTGTCACAAAAGCTTCAGTAAATAATGTAATACTTATGTTGTCGAGCTTCTTTTAATTTTCATGTGCAAGACATTATGATAATATTCGACATTAACCAACATAAAGACTGTAGTTTTTGAATTTCTTAAGAAGTTTTGAAAGAGAAAGGCATTGAATGAATGATCACAACAATTATAAATAATGCTTCATATTATTGGCAATTTTTCCTATGACTTTCTTGCTAATCAAGGTGTCAGTGATTATAGACAGGAAACAATTACCTCCAGTGAGCTCTAAAATGAAGATAAATTTCTAAAGATTGATCCTGTAAACTTAAAAGTTAGAACCAATTTGTATTATGATAAATGCAACTGATCTCAAACCGGCAAGCTGTAATTTCTAGTTTATACAATGTCCGCTAACTATCTTTGAGCTAAAGTGTATAAACCCACTTTTCAATTTTCAGAGAACTTTTCCCAAGCAAAACTATAGTTTTGAAAATGAAAAAAGAAAAAACAAGAAAAAATTTATTCAGTCCTCTAGCAAACATATCAGCCGTTTCAAGCTGTGAGAGACAAGCTAACAATCACAACATAACTTCATCAACTATTCAACCCAATAATATTTTCGGACCTCGCATTCTAATTCTTACACTTCCCCTTCTTTGGAACACAGTTATATCACATCATTACCTACTAATACATTCTAAAATCTCCAATGCACAAGTACTACTACAAGTGGGTAATTGTAAATTTGCCTACATAGCCAGATGAATCCATGTGCATTTTTCAAACATCATGTAATCAGCTGCAAAGTTGACTAAAAATTAAATCTTTTTACTGGGTTTTCAATCCAAAAACAAACAAATAAATACCTCAGCACTTTTATCCCCAACCACAAGCCCATGGAGAGAACTCCACACTAGAGCCTCGTGAACCATCTCCTCAACCAAGTCAGGTGCCACGTCAGCACTATGGGCCCCAGAAGCGGCCATTGCAGCAGCAATCCCCCTATGGGTCTCTGAAGAGAGCGATCGGGAAGAAAAGATGATGGGTAGTTTGAGATGGGTTTTGGGTGTTTTGGGGTTTTGGGGGGATTTGGGGATCGGGTTTTGACTTTTGTCGGGTTTTGGGATCGAGAGAGAGGGTGAAAGACGAAGGCAAGGGGATCCTACTACAAGTGCGGCGCCCATTTTTTCCCTTTAAATTATTTACGGTTTGTTTTGGGGTGTGCTATGCAAAGAGAATTGAGATGAAACAAGGAAAGTGAGGTAGAGGAGGGCTGAGAAAATATAATATATGGTTTAGGAGTTTTGTGAAAGTAATAAAAAACTTATTTTATTATGTTTAAGAGTTGAACAATTTTTCACTTTAGCCCTTTTAAATTTTTTATTATTAAAATCGACCCTTTTTTCTTTTATTTATCAAAACCGACCCGATTTCTTAATTAGCGGCTTAATCACATTCCTAATTAGTTGGGGTTGCCAACCCTGACTATTTAAGAGGGTCTTAAACCCTAATTAGAAGCCTTAAACCCTAAAAATTAATATCCTAAATAGTCGGGTTTGGCACCCCCGACTAATTAGGAATGTGATTAAGCCGATAATTAAGAAATCGGGTCGGTTTTGATAAATAAAAGAAAAAAGGGTCGATTTTAATAATAAAAAATTTAAAAGGGCTAAAGTGAAAAATTGTTCTAGAACATTAGATAGTTTATGCTACTCCACAAGTACTTTATTCAATCTTCCCAAATCTAAACCCTCTCTAAACCCCACAAGACGGAGCTAAAGGGCATCACTAAAAGCGTGCGAATTAAGTACCCAGAAAAACATCAGAAATTCAGAAAAGACAAAACAAACTACGTACTACAGCCTTCTCCCTAAAAACCAAGGCAAATTCGAACACATAGAAACAGCCCACACGCTATATATCACAAGCACAAACGCATGAGCTAAGCAAGTTAACCCTAAACCCTGATAGCTAGCTAGCTCGCTGCGTTTAGTCCTTCCTCCCATAAGTTCCAGTGCTCTCATCCCTGCCTGTGTCCTCTCCTCCCATCCCAAAAGTGTGCTTCACCGCATCGGCCGCCCCCTGCGCTGCACCCTTCACTTGCTCTCCGGCCTATACATCGATAAAAATGAAAAAAAAAGAAAAATAAATTAAAACAAAATGGTTAATATGTTTGCGCGAAGTGTTAACTTCAAAACAACGATGCTACACAGGTCTACCGATCCATAGTCGTTCACGGTCGAACTTGGATGCTTCGACTACTTACGGATTGGAAGAAGCTTCCGGTCTTCTCCTTGCCGACCTGTGCAGTGTCACGGGCACTCTGAGCGGCATGAGACGCCTTTTCCTTCGCCGCTTCAGTCTTGTCCCTCATGAAACCTCCGGTCTGCTCTTTCCCCTCGTAGGTTCGATCCTTGGCCGATTGAGCCGTGTCCGCTGCCTTGTCCCTCGCCGACTGAGCAGTCTCCTGCGTCTTCGACATCGTGGCGTCCTTAGTCTCCCGTCCCTTCTCCGTCATCTGACCAGCCTTCTCCTATATATATATAAACATTAGGATAACCATAAGTCTGTACCAATCCAAAGCCTTGAGTTACAATTGGGCATATAATATATTCAGACTGGTGTGCTACTAACGTGATACATACCAAAATTAATTAAGAAGATATATAGTATTTTGTCCCACAACAATCAAGAAAATATATAAGCATTTGTTATAGTTAATTACCCGAGCTTGGCCTCGGGTCTCAGCAGCGTTCTGGCGAGCTTGCTGTTGGTGGGATGCCATTGCTTGAGCTTGTAATTGAGATTTTCTGACTAAATAACGTTTGATATCGCAATTGCCTTTGTGACTGTGGAAGTTTATTTCGATAGCGATGAGGAGCTAGCTAGCTCGGACTCGTGAGCCACTTATAAGATGCGTGGGTGGCTTACCTCAAAACAAGCCTACATAGCCAGATGAATCCATGTGCATTTTTCAAACATCATGTAATCAGCTGCAAAGTTGACTAAAAATTAAATCTTTTTACTGGGTTTTCAATCCAAAAACAAACAAATAAATACCTCAGCACTTTTATCCCCAACCACAAGCCCATGGAGAGAACTCCACACTAGAGCCTCGTGAACCATCTCCTCAACCAAGTCAGGTGCCACGTCAGCACTATGGGCCCCAGAAGCGGCCATTGCAGCAGCAATCCCCCTATGGGTCTCTGAAGAGAGCGATCGGGAAGAAAAGATGATGGGTAGTTTGAGATGGGTTTTGGGTGTTTTGGGGTTTTGGGGGGATTTGGGGATCGGGTTTTGACTTTTGTCGGGTTTTGGGATCGAGAGAGAGGGTGAAAGACGAAGGCAAGGGGATCCTACTACAAGTGCGGCGCCCATTTTTTCCCTTTAAATTATTTACGGTTTGTTTTGGGGTGTGCTATGCAAAGAGAATTGAGATGAAACAAGGAAAGTGAGGTAGAGGAGGGCTGAGAAAATATAATATATGGTTTAGGAGTTTTGTGAAAGTAATAAAAAACTTATTTTATTATGTTTAAGAGTTGAACAATTTTTCACTTTAGCCCTTTTAAATTTTTTATTATTAAAATCGACCCTTTTTTCTTTTATTTATCAAAACCGACCCGATTTCTTAATTAGCGGCTTAATCACATTCCTAATTAGTTGGGGTTGCCAACCCTGACTATTTAAGAGGGTCTTAAACCCTAATTAGAAGCCTTAAACCCTAAAAATTAATATCCTAAATAGTCGGGTTTGGCAACCCCGACTAATTAGGAATGTGATTAAGCCGCTAATCAAGAAATCGGGTCGGTTTTGTTAAATAAAAGAAAAAAGGATCGATTTTAATAATAAAAAATTTAAATAGGGTTAAAGTGAAAAATTGTTCTTAAGAGTTTTAAGAGAAGTGAAGGTAAGGGAAAGAAAAAATATTATAATTAAATCTTAGTCGTTGATTCATAGTGATAATTCTTTTTCTTCTCTTTTCTTCCTCTACATCCCAATTTTTGGGGGTTTGGAATTCACCACGTTTGGGTATGAATTTGACTTTCCTTTATTTGCATTACCCCTCTCAAAAAAACTTCCTGGTGGGGTGTTAGTCAATTAGGATATTTTCATGCAAAATGGGATATTTGTTAAAGTGAAATAATTTTTCGTTAGTGGGATAAATATGAACAATTTTGTGAAGCGAGATATGTTGACAAAATAACGCGAGATATTTTTTTATAATCATAAAATATATATTTATGCATTTTAAAGATATAAATATTATTTATGTATTTTAAACTTACTATTATTGATTGATAATTGCTTACAAGAATGTTCTTTACTATTAAATAACTTTTGGTTGGACTATAAGATATTAACAATTATTATTATAATGATGGTCTAATGATGGTGATAACCATAATAGGAAAGAAGTAAAGAAAAAAGAAATATAAAAAATAACAAAATAATTATGAGTTCTAGTTTTTTACCACCTAGCTCCAAGCTAAAACTTAAAATAATTTGAGAGACTAGAACTCTCATTTTTGTATAAAAAATAAAAAAGTGGGATAATTTTATACCATTATCCCAATTCTAATTTTGTTAGAGTTCTATTTGACTAACATTGTAAAATTTTGTTCTAGTTTTAATTTTATGTGACTAACACCTTAAAAATTTATCCCACATATTATCTCAGTTTCAATTTTAAGTTCTAGGTGACTAACCCCCTTATAAGATATTGACAATTATTATTATAATAATGATTTAATGATGGTGATAACCATAATAGGAGAGAAGTAAAGGAAAAAAAGAAATATAAAAAATAAAAAATAACAAAATAATTATGAGTTCTAGTTTTTTACCACCTAGTTTTAAGCTAAAACTTTGAATAATTTGAGAGACTAGAACTCTCATTTTTGTATAGAAAAATAAAAAAAGTGGGATAAGTTTGTACCATTATCTCAATTCTAGTTTTGTTAGAGTTCAACTTGACTAATACTATAAAATTTTGTTCTAGTTTTACTTCTATGTGACTAACACCTTAAAATTTTATCCTACATATTATATCTGTTCCAACTTTAAGTTCTAAGTGACTAACCCCCCTAAGCGGGTGTTGTCAATTAGGACATTTTTATGCAAAATAGGATAATTGTTAAAGTAGAATAATTTTTCGCTAGTGGGATATTTTAGTGGAATAAATAGGAATAATTTTGTGAAGCGATATATTTTGATAAAATAACGCGAGATAATTTTTTATAATCATGAAATATATATTTATGTATTTTGAAGATATAAATACTATTTATGTATTTTTAAACTTACTATTATTGATTGATAATTGCTTATAAGAATGTTCTTTACTATTAAATAACTTTGGTTAGACTATATAAGATATTGACAATTATTATTATAATGATGGTCTAATAATGGTGATAACCATAATAGGAAAGAAATAAAGAAAAAAAAGAAATATAAAAAATAAAAAATAAAAAAATAATTATGAGTTCTAGTTTTTTACCACATAGTTCCAAGCTAAAACTTGGAATAATTTGAGAGACTAGACTCTCATTTTTGTATAAAAAAATAAAAAAAGGGCATAATTTTGTACAATTATCCCAATTATAGTTTTGTTAGAGTTCTACTTGACTAACACTGTAAAATTTTGTTCTAGTTTTAGTTCTATATGACTAACACTTTAAAATTTTATCTCACATATTATCTCAGTTCCAATTTTAAGTTCTAGGTGACTAACCCCCTTAAGGGTTTTTGTTTAAATTAATTTAGTTTATTTTTTGTCTGTCAAACGAAGTAAAGTCCAAAGCTAAGATTGGGCTACACAAAAGCCCTACTTCACATTGTTTCCTAAAAAGGAATTTGCATCAAAACAACCTTGTTGGTTTTGAGTTGAATACATAAAATTAGTAAGATTTAGATATTTATAATCGTATGGCTCTATGGGTACAAACCATGATTTATAATATCGTCTTTTTTATATAAAAAAAGGATAATTGGATATGTACATCATGAATCATCGCCCAATTATGTATAGATTCTATGTAGTTCTATTGGCACATGTAGACATTTTTGGCTCTTTAAGTGAATTTTTAAAGTTCGGTCAGGAGATCTATCCACAATTAGACGATAGTATAGTGGTCAATCTGTAATTAAACCCTTGATAAAATTAATCTAATTTTTAAGGTGACATGAAATTTTCTCCTATTAAATCTTAAAACAGACCATTTTTCGTCAACCTCGATCGTTCTAACCAACTAAAACTTTGGAGTCTTCACAGGTCCAACAATATTTGAGCTGTCTACGATTCTAGCTACCTAATTACAGTTGTCACATAACTTAAACCTAAAGGATCATAGCTAACAAGAACATCGTCAATATTTAATTTTGAACATTCTTTTTTGGGAAATACAGATTAGGTATTAATTAATTCCATAATTAATGAATGATATTTTGGACTAGCCAGAAGGCCCCTCTTTGGACGAGTTTGTAATCCCGCTCAACAAATCTTCAAAGTGCCACCACAAAAATAAGAGGTTTTTTGTATATACATCCCTCATATCTTTGTAACATTTTCTCTAAACATTGGGAAAATTACCCATAAAACTCGCATATTGCGTTTTTTTATAGCTCTCCAACTTAACATTGTTGGTTTCTTCATAATGCAATGCCAAAATTTCCAATAATTTCCTAGGTTTGCAGCATTCTCCCATCTAAAAGCTAAAATTGTTAAGTGGGAGAGAGAAAATACCATTTGTTAATCTTGAATGGATTTTTTTGCTTATTTCTCTAGATAATCTATTACTGACAACTTTATCCCAATATTCTAGATTTATAACTAATCTCAACAGAAGAAAAAACAAAAATTTATTCACTGAGATTCACAATATGTTTCCTATGGTGAAAAAATCAATGTGAGAAAATTTAGGGTAATTTTGAAAATACGAAGATTTTGACACTGCCTTATTGTGAAACCAACAATGTTAAGTTGAAGATAAAAAAAAAAAACTTGATACGAGAGTTTTAGGGGTACTTTTCTCAATATTTAGAGGGTAAGTTGCAATATGGAGAGGGGTATAATTGCTCAAAGTGGAATTTGGATGAGGTTATCAAAGTGAAATGGGATTGAAACGACTAATTATCAAATTGGTACTTTTTAATCCATCTTAACCTAATTATTACTAAAAGCCCCTCTAGCCAATTTTTGGTACTAAAAGCACACTAAACATGCAATTAGACGATTTTCTCACCGTGCAAAATTTGGTAGTTGTTGGCCTTCTTGTTTTGATGATGTTTAACAAACAATTTACTTCTAATGTTGTTTGTCTAGTGTTTGTGTTTTTGTATTTATTCTAGGCAAACAACGAGTTGGAGGATGGATGGATTGCGCCATAACGATCATATCAAAAGGAGGTTGGCGGAATGTCGGGTTGAAGCCCTTGCAATTCAAAGTTAAAGATCAAGTTCAAGCTTCATCCGCATGTGTACCAAGTCGAGCTTATTGAAGATCAAAATCATAGCTTGGGTAATCTAGTTTAGGTTTTATATTATGTGTGTTAGATACTCTAAGCTCAATATCATATACACAAACATTTTATTGGTTTCCTTGTATATATATGTAGTCATATATATATACAACACAAGTTTTGGTTTTCATGTTTATAAATATGAAATTACATATTTCATATTTATTATTGTGATTTGGTTTATCTACTTAGATATGAAACAAATATATTTTTATATACATACTCATATGTTTTATTTTCTATTCTATTTGTGAAAATATTATATTCTTAGTTTTTAGACTTAACAATAATCATATACATATTTTATTAAGTCTACATAATCATTTTGTAAAGTTTCAAAACATTGTTTAGCCAAAATGTCAAAATTCACATGTTTACATTTTCATGTTTTGGCCTATTTTGTAAAATAATGATATTTTTCATTTGGAAAGTCCTTTTTGGAAACCAGTCATTGTAGCATGTTTATTATCATGTCTATAATCATTCCCCAAAGTTTTACATTTTTTAGAATTTGTTTAATATTTTTAAACAGTGTTTTAAAATAAAAAAACAGTTTTCAGAACTTTATTTTCATATATCTGTTCACGGTCAACCGCCACGGTCGACCGCGCCTGAGTCCTTTGCATAGTGGGTAGCAGAAACTTTCGCGGGCGGCCCCCCCCCCCGACCGTCAGCTTAAAAATTCCCACGGTCGACCGCCACGGTCGACCGTCGAACTCTCTGCGGTCGACCGCCGCTCTGTCAGTTCTGTTCCAACGGCTATTTCTTGTTACCGTTGGCTGGGGCTTTTTGGTCTTTTGTTTGGAGTTTTTGGCTGAGGTTTTGGGAGGCTATAAATACCCTCTTGATCTCAGTTCAAAAAAAAACATGAGAGTGTTTTAAACAAGTTTAAGAAAGTTTTAAACAAGGGTTTAAGTGTGTTTTGGTGTTTGTTTGGTTTATGAAGAAGTTTTCACAGGTGGAGGAAATCACCTTCTTGTTTGGGCTTCAGTCTCCATCTCCCCATCTTGTCATCTATTGAGAAGTTTTCTAAACTCTACTCTAGCTTTTATTTATTAATTATTTGTTAATTATCATTTCTATTAAAGCTAGTTTTATATTGAGTTTAGATTTGATTTTATCTCATTGTTACACACACTCACTTGAGCTTATTGTATTTGCATTCATAATATATTTGGGGTTGTGAGAGTTGTAACATTGAGTGTGAGCTTTCATTGTGTTCTCATCCATAATAGAGAACAAACATTTATTGAGCCTAATTGTGAGATTCACTTTGTAATACACTTGTACACCGAGAAGAGTGTGTGGTGAGAGTCGGGGATCGTCTCAAGAGGAGTGGCGTCGGTTGACGAACCTAGGAAGAGGTTGTAACCGAGCACTTGAGGGAGACACGTCTAGGTCCAACACTTGAGAGGGTGTAGAGTGTGATTGCATAGTGTTTGTTGTGTGAGAGTTTTCGGTGAACTTGTAAACCGAGTGTGTAGAAGTTCCGGCTTCCAAACCGGATTGTGATAGTGGAGTATCTCCTCGAGGTGAGGAGCGGGAACGTAGGTCGTGGGGACCGAACCTCGTAAACATATCCTTTGTTTGTGATTGTATTGGCGTACTTGTTTTCATGTTCATATCTTACATCGCCATTGTGTATTGCTTGTTGATCATTTTGCCCTATCACATTTGTAGTTTGTTTTATTTCACCATTGTGTTAATTATATATCCTTGCATATATATTTCATCATATAGGATATATCTCATTGCTCATATTGCTTATCCTAGCTTACATATCTTGTTGTATATATATTTCATCATATAGGATATATCTCATTGCTCATATTGCTTATCCTAGCTTACATATCTTGTTGTATTTCATACTTGCTAGGATAACTTGTTAATTAATTTTAATTGGCATTTAAATCGGATTAGATTAGCATAAGACCCTAATCACCCCCTCTAGGGTCCAACAGTAGTAACATTGCGCGTGACCTGATGTAGCTTTGTCTCATGGTTATTATAGCGCTAATATGGCTTTTTATTTAACTAATGTGGCTAGATTTAGATGACGGGATGCTAATCAAATTGTAGATTTCTTGACTTCACATGTAGTTTTGAATATGAAAATGATAAATAGGATGATTATCAGTATGTAAGTGAATAATAACATAGTTCTTTTACTGTAATATGTTTAACATTGAGAAATTAGGGCTATGTGAAATCAATTTGGGTTTTTATTTAAATTTTTAGAAATCTTGTGAAAATCTAACTTTGAATAGAAGTTTGAAGATGACATAATTTTCTTGCCTCAACCGCATGTAATTGCTTAGATATGGATTGGGTTTTGATCAATTTTTTCTCGTCTTCATTCCTTTCAAAAATCCTAAATCAAAATAGATTCCCAATTTTTGCTCCAAATTTTAAAATTTATTCTCAGTTTAAGAGCCCCAATGACTTTTTGCCACATTAAGATGTTCGTGTCATCTTATCAATCTAAAAAAGTAAAAAAACTTTCTCTAAATTTTCACTAACGACAAAGAAAAATGTCTAATTACAAAATGAGTGGACTTTTAACACCAAAACTGTCCCAGAAACTTTTAGACCCAATTGGTTAGGGGTTTAAAAAGATATCAATTTGGTAATTTAGCCGAATGGAAACTAGGGTATTATCTAAGTTAAAATTTGGCAAAATGTAGGGTAGTAAAGTGAAAATAAACCTTAATTTAATACCCCTATTTTGTTTCCTATGCTCAAACTATACGAGTATACGCATATCAACAACTCATCACTAATATTGAAACATTTGGACTATTGTTACAAAGAAAGCTCTCTCTCTCTCTCTCTCTCTCTCTCTCCCTCCCTCTACTTTCTCTCTCCTCTCTGGCCGAGAAACACGCAGATTATTGAGATTGCCGTCGACGTATCTGTCATAGTTTCTCAATTAACAAACAAGACAAGAAAATTTCTTCCCTTTTTTTCTTCCCTATTCTTTGTTTTTAGAGAGAGAAGAGGAGGAGAGAGAGAGAGAGAGAGAGAGAAGAGAGAGAGAGAGAGAGAGAGAAGAGAGAGAGAGAGAGAGAGAGAGAGAGAGAAGCCGACTTGTTTGATAAAATTCTCCAAAAGGGCCCTCCTTTGATCTGAAAACGAGATGAAGATGGAGAAAGGGAGAGACCCTCTTCATATTTCTCCATTCTATTGACAACCCATTTCTCAAAATTCAATCTTTTTCTGCTTGGTGATGAGAAGGCATGGCAACGAACAAACCGAATTCCAAGAGGGTGTATCAGGTTTGGAAAGGGAACAATGTAAGGGATTTATCTACCTGGTTTCTCCTTAAATTCTGTGTCGAAAAGTTTATTCCGTTAATAATTTGGATGTGCTTTTATCCTAAGTTGGCAAAATGGGTGAAACTTTTGACCTTTTGTTTGATTGTGAACCCCAATTCCTTGATTTTGATTGTCTTGTTATCATATATGAACTCCCATAAGTTTTTATTGTGTTATTCCTTGCAGGAGTATTTGGTGATGCTGTTTTAATGAACAATGGGTCATGATTCTTTGCTTATGAGGTGATAGTAGTTGCAGTGATGTTATATTAGAGATGAGAGCAAGACTAGTTCTTCTGTGTTGATGATAGTAACAAGTAGTTCCCATCATCATTTTGGTCAAGAAAGTCATTAGGAGCAATATTTCCCTCATTGGAGATTAGGAACTACTATAGTATGAAAAGTCATTCATTTCTCTTCTTATAGATTTTACACCACTGTTATATCTGTTATGGATATTACGCTCAGAAGCGTTAGAAATCAAGAACGCAGATGATCGCCCAAATAGGAGGAGAAAAACGTATTAGATCGAATAAACTCGAACACACAGGAGTTAGCTTGGTTTGGAGCAAGGCTTGCATCCACGGGGAACAACAGATAAAGTTTCACTAATCAAAAGAGAGACCATGGATTCCACAAATTGATCCAAGAGATCAAAACCCTTCGCAGAGATGATAGAAATCAACTTCTAGGATCCATATTCTACCTATGAAGGCCTCTTCTTTCTTTCGAATCGTATGGAAAATGCTATACTTATAGCCTAGTTTCCCTATGAACAGTGCCGCAAAACCCCTAGGATTTCAAAACAAAACAAAGTTCCTGAAACATCAAACTCCACCGCCTTAGGCCCCTATTGTGCAGTGTAAGGTAGAGCTCAACAGCCCAGAGAACCCTAGATACCTATTAGCACCCTCTAGGTGGTGCTATTTCATCCTGAGGAGAATAGGTGGGGGTAACACACCGCCTAACATGGTGCTTTTGATGCTTAAAGCACGGTCTATCGCCAGGGCCACCACATACCGCTGATCCGTTGCTTGTCTTGACTCGTTCTTTGTTCTTTGGTGATGGCAATGGATGGAGGCTGATGGAAGGCACGTCCGACAATATCATTATTCATATGAACACGTTTAATTTTTAAGTAATCCCAATTTTTATATTACTACCTTGGGTTAGCTTAAAACACCATTAATTGGTACATGAGCGAGCTAGCGATTTGTTATGGAGGGAATATATAGGGTTTTGAATTTTAACCTCCCAACCAAAAAAAAAACCCCCCACCCTCTCTCCATTATTCTCACAACTGCTAAATTAACCACAGTCTCTCCTTATTGAAATCAACCACACTGTCGTTATTTATGGGAGACCCAAGTTTTGTTGTTTTGGAAGGTGTTGAACCAACGTATCATAAGGCATGAATTTGTAGACTAGATTCTCCTCGCTCAATGCAACAACCTAGTAACAGAATGGATTGGAGGAGGTGATGAGAAGTAGGTTGCAATGAAACATACGGAGGAGCACATGATTGTGATGGCACCTTGGGATTGGAGTTTGACTCACTTGAGATGGAAAACACGTTCTACTATGCTAGCCATGCAGGGTTTGATTCTAGAGAGCTAGGTTGGGTTTTGTTGGATTTACATTTAGCCATTGAGTAGATGATCGTTGTAATTGGGAGGTTGAAGACTAATTAAAAAAAACAAAAACAAAAGAGCAGCAATTGTCAAAGTGCTGGGTTAAACTAACAGATTTAGACTAGAGAGATAAATCGGATTTCGGGACATATTTCTTAATATCACGATTTCGGCTATATATGAGATTTGAGGTACCAATATTCAGAAACCCTTTATTTTTGTTGGCATTAATGTTTGAAATAATTTATGCACAAGAATTAAGCTTTGCATTGTATCACCAAAAAGACTTGTTTGTCTAGCAAAAATGACCAGTTTGATGTATAATTTCTTGTATGAGTACATATTAGTATTGAATTATGTTGACATAGTAAAGCGAATCTTGTTTTATTCTATCAGAGATTTTGCTGTGGAGGGAGACTTGTATTTGGTCCGGATGTTGCATCACTGTTTCTATCCATGCTTCTGATAGCTGGTCCAGCAATACTATTCTGTTTCCAGATAACGAGAAAAATCAAAGATCATATCGATCATGAAGGGAATGATGCAAGTCATCAGAATCACATTCTTGGCTTTCCAGTGTTATTTGTGACCATAATCATCATGTTCTTGGTATGCAATCTTTTTATAAACAATCGAATGGTGTCACAAATTTGTAATATTTTAGGGTGCTTTTCACCAAACCCCTTGAAAATTGAGGGGTTTCCAACTTTCCATGAAGCCTCCCTACTTCAGAACTTTTTACCCCACTAAACCCCCATGAACTTTGGGATGTCTCACAAAATTCCCCTCAACTTTCAAATTTTCCCCACGGACCCCCTAGACATTGTTAATGGATTGACAATCACTTAGTTCCTACACAATCAAAATAGTGGCCAGCGACACCATTAACATCATTAGGGGGGTCCATTGGGAAAATTTAAAAGTTTGGGCTTTTTGTTTTTGTTTTTTTGTGTGTGTGTGGGGTGGGGGGGGGGGG